AATGTAGTGGTAGTGCGTGTGAGTGAAAAGTGTCCCCAATTAGTGCGAAAGCGCTAGAACGACTAGACCCTTAAATAAAAGCTATTTATTTATTTTATTTATTAATAATCGAAAAAGTAGCAATAATAAGGGTTAATAAGCAATAAATAAAACAAAACTTACATATGGTATAGTATCACTATCCCAAGAAGATTTCCTGTGCAGATACTGTAATGCTGTTGCCTTTTATTTCATTTTTCCAGTGTTTTCTACAAAGACCTTTTTGGGACTGTAAGTACATATGCTTCTCCTCATTCATCATCTTCGTTATTATTGCCATCATCTCTGCCTTGCTTCAACCTCATCCACCTGATATACCTGTAGTACAGTTCAGTAAGGAACCTATCAGGGTGAGTGTGTCAAGAAACTAAATGAATTTTCAGTCCTGTATTTTTTTTTAAATTTACAAATTTCAAGGAAAGTTCTTGAAGGGGGGTGGGGGGGGGGCAAATTGGGTGGCTTTCCACCCCTCCCTCTTGGAATTATGAAAAACAAAAATAATAAATGATGAGGTAAAAATAATATTTTCTACATTGATGCTAGGCTGTTTTTTTATGGTATTTACAATATTTAAATTTTCAGGAACAGGACACTGCAGCCTGGGAAAACAAGAATCTCAGAGAATTACAAGTAAGCCCTCGTGCAATTAACTCCGTGATGGTTTAGCCCAGGGGAGCCAGGGGAGCCAGGGGGAGGGGGCTGAATCTTTATTAGTATAAAATATTATTTGTCTTCGTCTGAGGTTCTTCATGAACAAAACAGAGATCAGACCCTCCCCCTCCCCACTTTAAACCCCCCTCCCCACTTTGAACCCCCCTCCCCACTTAAGTAGTGTTTCTTAGCCCCTACCTTTAGTTAAAAAGTACTCCGCTGCTGTAACCATCAATGTGTTACCATATCATTGTACAAAAAACTGAACACTCAATTTGCCTCAAATCTTTTTACAGGAAAAACTGGAGCAGATATCAGCTCAAGTGAATGGCCTGAGAAACAGTATAAAAGGTTTGAAATATAATTTCCAGACCACAGATGCTTTTCCAATTAAATTTAAATATGTATTACACAATAAAAATCTATAAGCCCTTTGTTTATAGTGAGGAATTACTTTCTGACCTCTCTCTGTCAAGGTAATAAACCCTTGACTGCCCAGAACTTTCCTCATCCTTTGGAAATTCAAACCCCACCCTACCCCCCATGGATATAATTTGGATATTATCTGATGTCATGGTTATTGTTCTAGATGAGGCACAGAAGAAAATGACAGATGAAGTCATTATGTCAAAACAGGTATTAAAGCTTTGTATATTCCATAAGAGAATAAATGAAATATATAAAGTTTTGGAAAGAGCTTGCGATAGACCTCTTAAGCTTTCTTAGTTTCTCTATTTATAGACCATTTGTCATTACCTTGAGTATCATTGCTTTATTTAATGGTTGCACATGAGAAGACACATGTCAGAATGAAATGTGGTACGAAATGTGGAAACATTACATCCAGGCTGATTTATTCTATAAAAAAAATTTTTTTTTCAAATTCTAATGTGCAATAATATCATTTATACCTTAGAATCTTGCTCACTTTATTGAGGGGCTTATTCATGATAAAATGGAAGAAGCACTAGATGTCTATAGTGCAGACAAGCTGGGTATTCCTGATTATGCTTTGGAATCTGCTGGTAAGTAATTAAAAGGACATTAATAAGACATTTTTCTGCTGGCATGTTATGCCATTAAAACTCCCTCTTCCAAAAGTACGCATTTATTTGTCATACCAAACATTTTATCAGACCCCAAAACAACCTCAGTGGGCTGATCAATCTCAGGGCAAAGCATCAAAGTTAAAATCTTAAGACAATAATAAGAAGTCGTGATGAATGATTCCTTTTGTTGACAGGTGGTCAAATCCATGGTCATTATCATTCGTTGACCTACGACACTGGAGCTTCAAGAAAACTCTTTGGTTTTTCCTTGTGGTATGATGGAGTACCACCTAGAGTCATTCTACAGGTATTCACAACTGTTTATTGGATCAGATGGTTGAGTGGGTGCCCCAGATTCAATCCCCAGCTGGATATTGAATACTTAGTGTCTCAAAATAATTGGGAAGAAAGTGCTGATTGCTTTAGGACTACGATATTGATTGGATAGGCCAATTTATGCTCACCAGAAGATGCTTGTTAATTTATTGAGCACAGGGCATCATTATTATGAAGCTTTTAAATATTCTATTTTTATCTTAACTGAATTTTGAATTGCTGATATTTGTTACTCAGCCTGACAACACACCAGGATCTTGCTGGGCGTTTGAAGGACAGGAAGGATATGTTGTTATCAAGGTAAACTAATGATATTTTATAGCAATACATGCAGTAAAAACCAATTGAACCAGTTGTTTTTTGGACAATATACATGTTCCTTTTTGCCACGAGGGTAGCACTTAATAGCCAGTGGCTAACAAACCTGTGGCCCTTATTTAGGAGTTGGCCTGTATTTAGGAGTTGGCCTGTATTTAGGAGTTGGCCTGGAATTTAGGAGTTGATTTTTGTGGAGGGAGGAAAACCGGAGAACCCGGAAAACCCTCCAAGCACAGGAGAGAACCAACAAACAACTCTACTCATACAACACTGAAACCAGCGGGACTCAAGCTTGGGTCACATTGATGAGAGGCGAGCGCTCACACTGCTACGCCATCCATGCTTCCCATGTTTTAATCTATTGTTTTTGTTCTGTCCTAGTTATCCCAAGCTATTATTCCTGAAATGTTCACACTTGAGCACATCCCATCCTCTCTGTCAACTAATCAACATGGAAAGATACCCAGTGCTCCTAAAGATTTCTCAGTTTGGGTTAGTATAGCAATTATATTATTTTTAATATCCCTACAAGGGTACATACCCAGAGGCACGGGGAGTAATTTTAGCAGGAAGTTCCCAGCAAATAAAGTGTGGCACAGCCGTAGTGCACCTGCCTCTAGGGTCTTGGGTTAAATATTTTGGCTCTTTCTCGTTGTAGGGCACCTGAGCCATTAATACAATAAAACAATAGCCGAGAACCCATGCATTTGGGGCTAAACAATACCCTGAAATACAATAACCCTAACCTATAATACAATAAAGCTTGCCACACCAAGAAAGACCCCAATATTTCTAGACTAGGCATCTGCATGGGTCATGTGGTTAGAGTTTGTCAGGTCTCTCCTTTGATTTAAGGTTGATTTTGATTGGTCCAGAGAATGTTGCAAGGTACTGATGGAATTTCAAAACATATGTTGCAAGGACACAGTATTCATGGAACTCAAAAACAACTCTTAATTGTAACTAATTTTCTCATCTAAAAAACTGCATTTTAGGTGGAGGGTGGGTTGGAAGTATTCATCCCCTCTTTACCCCCCTCCCACTGCGTCACATACAGTACCACACCATTCACTGCTTTAGTGACCAAAACTTAGCATGTCTCACTAAAAAAATGTATTTTTTTAATTAAAGGGATGGTTGGATAGTGAAGGACAGAACAGAAGACTATTGGGAAAATACATCTATAATGACCAAGGGAAATCACTACAGACTTTTAAAGTTGAGCAGGTAGAATGAAAGTTGATAATTAGAATTTTTTATTCATTTTTTAAAAAATTATTATTATCGGAGATCTGAAATCTGAGACCAAAATTAATCATACACAGTGAGCTGTGAATTAATAATTAAGTTTTTTTTAATCATTGTAGTTAACAACAATTATTAATATCTAGATATTCCACTACCTTTGAGCAATAACCTGCACAGATTTCAGATAATTTTCAGATCTCTGACTAACTGTTTTTTGAAATAGGTGTTTTTTGTATTTTTCTGTGTGTTTTATTTATTTGTCCTTTCCATTGTTGCTGTTTGTCATTCTTATCGTTGTTTGAAATCTTCAGGAGAAATGTAACAAGGACTATACATATATAGAGCTGCGAGTGAGTAGTAACCATGGCGACTCAACACATACCTGTATATATCGCTTCCGTGTCCATGGCAAGCCTCCCCCTGGACCAGCACTACTGCCACCAAAAGTGCCAACTGAAACCTCCCCTGAACAGCTGAAACAAACAACAAGATAGAAAGACGATATTCAATATTTCAGTATTACTAAATATAATAGATGAAATATTATGAGAAACTGTAAATACAATATACTGGACTTTACACCATGTATCCTCATTCATAGACAATACGTATATCTAGTTGTATTTAAGAAATACTTTTTGTTACATATTACATTATATTCGTTTGAAAAATTCTGTGAATATTTCAGAATTATAATAAAAGTTATACATTTTTACCAACTAAGTCTCTCTATTACTAGCCATCTTTGAAGAAGTATTTTTAAGACGGCCCCTAATGACGCACGCAATGGACTCTGGCTACCTGGATTCAACGTGATTTAACCACAGGAGTGAACTGTAAAAACGGAAATTGAACCCTAAATAAACCAGAAAATCTTTTTCAATGGATATGACAGTCTAATATTAAGCAAAATGAATACCTTGTTTAGTTTTAGAAACTATAAAAACAGTGGATTCTTTAATTTTCCCGCTCGCATGAACCTTATGCAAAAATCAGCAGGCGTTACTCGTTAGTTCCTAGTCTCCCTCAAGGCTTTTCTTCTTTTGTTTGACGGATGAGATGGAGATCGACTTCAAAGGCAAGAGAGCTCTTGTCACAGGAGCTGGCAAAGGTAAACGTTGGGTTTATTTTAATCTCAAGTTTTCTTATAGAGAAGCCTTATTGAGCCTTGTTGAGGAACACGTCAGGGCAACATTTTTCCATAAAAATGATATGTAACAATTTATTTCACATTTATACTATTGTATCTACTGTAAGGTGGCATTGTACCTTCATTCTGTGTCAGTCCTATTACTTTGGAAGAAGATTTGTTTTCAATAATGTTGTTTGGGTCCATCTGACATCATAGGTGCCATATTGGATGACTTGAGCAATAAGTTTCTTTTGTAATGTCATCCAACATGGTGGTCATGTCTTTTGTTATAGCGGCCACATCTTTTGTCCTTTTATTCTCATGCCACAATTTTGTCACAATTTTATTATCTACAGGTATTGGAAGGTGTATAGCAAAGTCATTGGCTAGGTGTGGGGCTGAGGTCATAGCTTTGACAAGAACGCAGTCAGACTTGGACACACTTGTAGCCGAGGTATTAAGAACTTATATTACCATTGTATTCATTGTAACATGCTGATTGGCTCAACATGGTACACTCACCATTCACCTCTGGGTTCTCATGTTCAGTTCTTCAATTGGAGTTGAGATATCATATGAGGGTAGAGTTTGTTAGGTCTGGACTCCCTTGATTTTAGAGTTTTTTGGTTTTCATCCTTCCGCAAAACCTAGCAAATTAAGCTCCAATTCAAATCTGTGAGTTTAGCCATGCCCTGCCTTTAATAAGTCCAGAAGTCGTTTCAAGGCTTCATCTGCGATCTCGAGCTCCTTGATCAATTTAAATGAAGGAGCTTAAGTCGTAAATATACCAAAAGCACCAAGTGATTTCTATAATGAGAAAGCTGATAATTAGTTGTCTTTACATATCAGGTTCCTTCTATTCATCCTCTGTGCTTGGATGTGAGCAAGACTGAAGATGTTAGGAAAGCCATTGAAAAGCTCGGTGATATACACCTTTTAGTTAACAATGCTGGGGTTTCCAAACTAGATGCATTTTTGGATATAGAACCAGAGGACTTTGACAAGTAAGGACTCATTTAGTTCAAATATATACAAGACAAGCTGTCAATGATTTGTATAGGCATTTACAATTACAAGCTGATGGTTGCCATCTAGACTAGATTTGTGTTTTGCTGCAGTGTTTTCCCATTTCATACCATGTGTCATTTCAAAGACTATCATTTCTTTGTTTAATGGTTGTGCATAAGACACTCGACATTCGACACTCTAGGCTATGACGAGGTTTCACATTTAGTTGGGTTCACAGCTAAGTCATGTAGCCTAGACCCTATTCCTGCTTCTCTTCTTATGGAATGTCTTGATCTTTTAATTCCAGTGTTTATAAATATTATTAATCTATCTCTCTCCCAGGGCGTATTTCCTGATTCTCTCAAGATTGCTAAACTGACACCTATTCTTAAAAAACCGAATGCTGACTTTGAAGTTTTTTCTAATTTTCAACCTGTTTCTAATCTACCATTTATCTCTAAACTAATTGAAAAGGCTGTTGCTCATCAGTTGAATGATTATTTAACTAAATATAATCTGCACGATCCACTTCAGTCGGCTTACAAAGCCATGCATAGTACTGAGACAGCTTTGGTTCTAATTCATAACGACATCCTTCAATCTATTGATGCTGGTAACTRTGTCATCCTTATTTTTCTTGATATGTCAGCTGCTTTTGATACTGTCGTTCATGATACTTTACTGGATAGACTTGCTAATCGGTTTGGTATTGGTGATGTTTAGATCCTACCTGTCTAATAGGAAGCAATTTGTAGGTATTAATGAATGTTCATCTTCCCTTTGCAATCTTGATGTTGGGGTACCGCAAGGCTCTGTACTAGGCCCGGTTCTTTACTTGCTTTACACATCTCCACTGGCAGATATTCTTAAGCGACATAATCTCAGTTATCATTTTTACGCCGATGATTCTCAGCTTTATTTATCTTTTAAAGGCAATGATCAGTTTGCTCAATCTAGGCAATCTTTAGAAGAGTGTCTGATATTTCTGAATGGATGCTTGTTAATGGACTGAAGTTAAACCACGATAAAACGGAGCTGATGTGTATCCACT